CTGAACCCCTTGTCACTGGTATCTGGATTCCTAAATTTTGTACAACTTAAAGAGATGCATTTAGTATTCCATATGCATTGTAAGCTGCAATAACCTTGGATGTTTCTTGTATATTTCTTTTTCTGTTTTGGTGGGGCAAACCCAGGAACCTTTGGGTCTGTGTGAGGCTAGTAGTGAAACGAGCCACAGAACTCTGTTTTGCAAAATTTGGCTCTGTAGCTTTGTATCCTAAGGCCCCAGAATCAATCTGCCCATAACAACTGTTTGTTGTATCAGTATCAACAAGGACTATGAGCAATTAGACATGAGGCAGTCAGTCATACAAAGGCCCAAAGGTTTCCAGCTTAAGCTAGGAGGGCTCCTGAAAATCAGCAAAAGGAATTTGTGGAGAACACCTTTACTGGACAGGCTATCTCTTTGGTGAACCAATAATTATTCTTGTTCCCATTCACACATAAAGAAATTATACAAATACTATTTTCTTCCTCTTTGTGTACGTGCTTGTTTATTCTTTTTCCTCCAAATCAACATCATCATTTTAGAACTGCAGAATTGGAAGGGACCCCACAGATCATCAAGTCTAGTTCCTTTCAAGGAGGCACAGGGGGAAATCAAATCCCCAACCTAAGATCCCTAAACCACTTAGCTATCCAACAGTTCTATATGCATTTGGCTTTCAATGCATCTGGAAATGTTTTTCCAAATGTATTTCTTACTGTATAGCTTTTTGGACTTCATTTTTAAAGGTGAAGTCCATAATGATTAATATGACAAATTGGATGGTGACTATGAGAATATAATTTGATAGTTGCTACATAAGTAGCAACTATTATTTCTTATAATAGGTCACTAAAGATATGAATAAGAGAATATAATTTGATAGTTGCTACATAAGATATGAATAATTGTATTTTTGCAATTCAACCCCCCCCCCCTATTTTTTAGGCAGCATGGTCATGGGATTTTGGGAGTTGTAATCCAAGAACATAAACCTGCTTATCCCTGTTGCTTGTGATAAAATGTAAGACAGCATGGGCATAGAACTAAGCAGAATACACAAAACTGCTCTGCCATTCTGTTCCATTCCATTCTCCACAGGATTCAAAGACTTAGTATAAATATTTCTCTGGAGCATCCAGACTTAGCTGGCAGCCATTTGCTTTGGCTGGAAAGTAGCCAAGTCATCAGTAGCAGCAACTAATGACACCATAGTTTTGGACAGAGAAATTTGCAAACTAATTAGTAAAATAATGTAATAGTATTAGAGAGTGGTGGCTTTTCTCCCAATTCTGTAATTAGGGAGCTAGGGATTCTCTTATTTTTTGACAATGAAAAACTCAACAGAGCTGAAATGTGTTCCCATTTGACTCACCTTGGATTAGCATGAAATAGTGTGATAGATAATGCATGGTGACTGAAAACAATAATTATTAGTACAGAGTCTTAAAATTGCATAATGTTGCTAATTCTCTACCAGTGCTCTTTACTGGAAATCTCCATTAATTACAAGAGATGCCAAGAGGAGGGCATTTTGAATAAAGAATTTATTTTTATTTTCTCTGAAATACACTATGAGATGTATAGCATATAATGAGTTCTATAATGAGTTAACTCTATATTTTCTTTCTCCTTCTGTTCTATTTAGTCATCAGTTCAATTCTCCTTAATGTCATTAATTCTAATAAGATGGCTGATGTCAGAGTAGGAGATACCACTGAGAAAACAGGGACAGCTTTCATCATATGTTATAAAATATATGTTTAAAAGAACACAAATTTAAAAAAAAATAAAAAGAAATTCCAGTTATACATTAAAAGGAAATATTGACAGAAAAACCTTTCAAACTTTTTAAAAAATGTGAGGCTGACCTACAGTAGTTATAAAATTTGTTTAATTTGGTCATGTATAACAAAAAATAAAAGCAAAAACAGGTTTATCAAATGCCAAGAAAGCTCACACTGAAATAAATCTGGCAGTCGGACAGTGCCACAAGACTTTTATTTTTTTATTTTTGTTATACATATTGGAGCAGACTAATATGACTATCTCTTCGAAAAGTTATTTTTATGTTCATTTTGAATAATTCATCCAGTTTCAATATAAACATGCTTAATTAATGTGCCCTGTGAAAATATTTATGTTATGAAAGTAAATAAATATGGATTTTTATTGTGTCAACAGACCAGAAAAATAACAAAGTAGTAAATAATAGGTCAAATACAACTGGATAGTTACATCCATGCAAAAGCAATCATGGAAATTGCTTTGGGTAACTATAGCTAATTGACAAGATTCTGGTGTGTGTGCCAGATGTATGCCAGGCAGCCATCAAGAATGTGACTGACATACATCTCCTCAATTAGTTGTGGCATTTTCTGCAATTGCTCTTGTGCATGTGTAAATATCCAGTAGGATTCTGGCCACTACACAGGTGAAATATTAATGATTTTACAACAGTTATATAATAACTAACTAAACAGATATAAACAGACAGAAGTCGTAAACAATGTATCCTCTAATTTCAGCCCCGCTTGGAGGGGCTCTGACTCTCTCTAACAAAACTTCACCTCTGCATGTGTGTGACTGGAACCACAGGGACTGAGCAGAGGAGGAAGAAAGCTGCATGGAGAGAGGTGGAGTCATGCATGCATGTGCAACCACACACCTTAAAGGGATCCTTGGTTGTAAAATAGGGGTTAATGTCAACTTATTCTCAGCTGAAGGAAAACAAAATGGTTTGGTTGAAAAGATATGATAGGCCAAGTTAGTCTGCACTTCAATACACAGTTATCTAAGAGTTAAATCCTATGGAATTCTGATGAGTTTATTTTTAACCAGGCATGTACAGTATAGCATTGAATTTTAAAGGAGGTTCATGAAAGGGAAGCCACCATACCCCTTTATCCTCTGGCTGTAACTGGGGCCTACTGATTAATGTGGTGTAGAGCTTGTGGCAGTACTCCCCTTCCTCCTTCCCCAGTATCCTCTCCCCATTGTTTAGGATAGCTTAGTAGAGGTACAGGTGCTGGATAGAAAAGTATGTCAAACTTTATTACATTACCATGTCCAGACCCAAGCTATAGCATTTTGGCTGCTTGACACAAACAATATCTTATACCATTTCCTGATATCCACCAACCTGCAGTTGTTTACAAGCATCATAACAGTACAATATTATTACCAGTACAAATTACTGAGGAAGCAGCTGCAATAACTCACAGAAAACTAGACAGAAAACTAAGTATAGAAGATAGATCTTAACAAAGTGACAAATGAGTGTTACTTTTATGCC